CTTTTGGATGAATAGCAATAAAATCAGCAGCATCATCTAATTAAAAAAATATATATATTAATATAGTTATAGTCAAAATCATCATAAATTACTTGCAAAACATAAAATAAATTTCAATACATAAAATATAGAAATAAAAGAAAATAACAATAAATAAAACTAAATAATAATATTCGAAAAAAAAAATGCCTTCAAAAAAAATAAAAGTACTTACACAAATTGCCATTAATGACAAAAAAATTTTTTATTATAGCTTTTTGAACATTGTCCCATGAATTTGATGCGTACACTTTAACAATATCAAAACTTTGAACATGATTGTTAATACTAGAAAATACAAGTTTTCCATTCATTCTAATTGTGTACAAATAGAAAAACCCATTAAATCCTTGAGACAATTCAATTTTTGACCACATATTTATCTCTATTGGATAATAAAATGAAGTTAGGTTTTTGTTAATTAAAGCCACTATTTTAAGTCTTTCTTTACCATTTTCATCTAACCAAATGCCAAGAATTTCACTTCTGTTGTTAAAAGCATTGGACTCAACAACGAAATAAATAACATTATGTAGTCCATACTGGAAGATTATTGGATTAAGATCAATAGACACTAAATATTCTTTATCTAACTTTGGTATCTGAGCAAGAAATTTTCCTTTTACCAATGGCGTGTTAATACTTTTAACAATGTATTCTATAAACAAAGGAATTAAAATTAAATATATATTAAAGAAAAAACAAAAAAAAAAAACTTAAATAAATTTAAAAAATAAATTCAACTTAATAGTTGCATTTGTAAAATACCAAACAAAGATGCATATATACAAGTTAAAAACAATTTAATAATAACAACATTTAAAAAAAAAACTTTTACCAGCTTTTCTATTAACAACTAGAATGTCAGATATTGTTCCATTTTGTGCCTCATCCCAGATATCAGAGACATAAACTTTCATCCTGTTAAAGTCAACAGCCAACAAATTTTCAGTTTGATGAATATTGACACCATTTATATCAATAGTAAATGAATATTTACCATACAGTGACCATTGACATATTTTTATATTAGACCATACCCACAAGCTAAGTGGATTTGTTATAACAGTGTAACTACTATTACCACTTATAGCAGCATTAATTACAAGTCTTCCAGAACCATCTTCATGAAACAAAATAACAAGACCTTTACTACCGTAAAGATTATTAGCATCATCCGAGGTCAAGTGAAAAACACTTTTTACACCTTTGGAGTAACTCATTGGCTTCAAATTAAATGAAATAGTGTATTCTTTTCTTAAAATTCTTAGTGTTCCAATATATAAACCTTGCGTTAGAAAAATTTCTTGTCCATGATTGATATGATCTAAGTAAACTAAAAAAAACAATCATTTCAAATCAGCTTATCAACTTTTAAACTATAGCTTTACAGCAAACTTTTAAATTCATTTTTAAATAATAACAAAATTAAATTTAAAAAATATATAAAAATACGGATTTGTATATAGATATTTTTCATTTAAAGACCGTTATACTCATGCCAAGCCTCTATTACTTGAAATGGAAGTTTTTAATAAATATGAGCTTAATATTTTTAATATTGTTTATTTTATGTGTAAACGTAAAACCAATTCATCCCCGATTTCTTTTCATAATTTGTTCATAATTCATCAAAAGATTAAAATAAATACATTTGACGCAATGATAATATTATTAAGTAGCCCATTTTTAAAACATATTTTTTTAAATTTGGCATTGACTATAGTGGACCATTCTTGTGAAATAAAATAGTTTTAAAAAGTTTAACTGAGGATTTTACTGATCAAAGTAACAACTTTTCTTTTAAACGAAAGCTTAAAGAACTCATTTTTACAATCGAAATACAATATACTTTTGATGTTTTTTCGTGATCTTCCTTTTTGTCCTCTATTTAAATATGAATCTATAAAAATTATATATCTATCATTAACAACTGTAATATATAGTAATATATCTTATATTTGTAACGGAATATTTTATTTTTCTACTTTGCTAACTTAATTTTTCTCTAGTAAATATTTTATAAATTTTAACACTAACATTTTTAGGTGGTACTTGACTACAAGACCATTGGTCTTTTACGAGTCCCCGCGTTCTTTTATTATTTAACAACAAACAATATATCACAGGTCAGAAATTGACCTTTAAGGTTTTATTTTAGAACATCCCATATATTTTTATAGATTCAATTTAAGAAACGTTTAGGTTACACAAAACTATAAAAATTAAAATCCTGCAGGTGGCACATTTTTAGAAAAGGCATTTAAAGGGCCGCCCCCTATGAAAATATCATGTTTAAATGAAAAAACCTCATAGAAACGTTGCAAACCTTTTACATATTAATACCAATATCAAATAATGATGATCTGCCAAAAAAAAAAAAAAAAAATTTCGGGAACATAGAAAATACAACGATTTCGGGACACCTTCCCCAAATATGGCAAATAAACAAAATTAACAATTAGTTTTGTACAATGTTATAGTGAATGAAATTTTATTCAAAGAATTCAAAATTTAAAAAGATATACATTGCAGTTCAAAAGTTATGACCAAAAAAAGTTATATTGCCCCTCATTCTTCCAAAAAAATGAGAAAGTTTTGTATTTTACATGACCATAGTCTCTAAAGTACATCAGATTTTTTTAAGAAACTTAAAATTTTATAATGAATTTTGATTTGGTTTAAGAAATTAGAAAAATATTTGTCAAATGCACAAGTCCCCCTCTCAATCAAAGCAGGTGGCGTCAAAATTTGGCTTTGTTTTTGTTCTCAAACTTTAATCACAGTTTTTTGTTGGACACATTTATCTTTTTATAACCATATGATACCATATGATTATATGAATTTGTATGCAAAAGATTTTAGTCTTCAAAATGCCTGATTATCATAAGCCCCTTCATTGTTAATAAAGATTTTTTATTAAGCTTCACTAAAGAGAATTTAATAAAATATAGCTTAATAACTACATGTTCATGCTGGAAAAAGTTTCAGCAATTTGTTTAGTTCTTTTACCGTGCATTGGGCTAAGGACAGATACATTAAATCTATTTACAACAGGCTTCATTTTTTGGTGTGAGGTTTCTGTTGATTGTTCATTATATCTTGACAGAGAGCAGCTGAACATATTGCATGTACTTTCCATGTCACACTGAGGCTTTTATTCAACTAAATATATAAGTGTATATAAAGGAAATATTTAAAAGAAGTTTTAAAACATTATAAGTTTACATCATAATTAGTTCTGAACAGTATGTTTGAGAATGTTCAAAAACATCTGTAAAGTCTTGGATAAGCTTGTGATATTGTGGATCTAGTGGTTCACTAAATGTACCAGTCACAACTTTGTCATACTTCCTTAATGTATTAATTAAAGGGAATAGCTCTATCGGAATTACTAATGTAAGACTGTCTACACTTTTCAATATTGCTCTTGAAACATTACCATCATATGTACCTCCATGATAACCTTTCCGTATAACACCAAGGCTATTAACCCATTTTTTAAAACCTGCCCAGAGGGGTATAATATAATTACAAATGTGATTTACCAAACCCATGAGAAGATGAAGTTCTAGTAAAGTTTAGACTAGCTTCTCAGGATCATCTTCCTTTATGAGACAAGCCTTCACAACATTCTAAGTGAAAATAAATGAAACTCAATATTAAGTTTTGTATAAAAAGCTCTTCATTAGAATACAAATATATTAAAAAAATAATAATAACCATAAAATTCATCATTTGTTTCTCAGGAAAACCTGCATCAGCATACTGAAGGAGACAGTTATCTAGGTCTCCAAAACTTCTGAGATTACCAGATTTCAGAACAGCATCCCCGTCACACCAGGAACAACTGGTGTGACAGGGAAAAAATAAATAAAACGGTATTTCTGTCTGTTTCATACTAGTTTGACCTAGAGTTATGGGGAATTTGGAACCACCCATGTTATTGACAAAAATGTTTAGAAAAACTCAAAATTTTACAAACATATACAAAGAAAGCAACATCTATAACATACTAGTGGAAAACAGCATTTCTTCACCCTTTTCCATATCATTGTTTAAATATATATCTTTCAAAATATTGGTCATTACTTGGCCTTGAACTTAAACAATAGAAAAGTGAAAATTGGTTTTACAAATGAGATATATACTAGAAACATGCAGATTTTAAATAATAGTATTATTTTTAAAGAAATAAATTTTATAAATATTATACTTTAATATCTTTATTTAAAAAATAAGTTGCCAGATTCTTTGATTCCTTTCCAGGGTATCATTTATGATGCATACCTTTACCAATAACTTGAAAATATTTTTGACAAACTTTAAAGCAACCAGCAGTTGAACTCTTGCAATCACCAACTTTTACTGAAATTATTTTCTTTCTGTTTTATTTGTCTATTTTTACTTAGAGAATTATTTGATGAATTTAATTCAAACTAATTAAAAAAAAAGTGTAATATAGAACCTAAGATTTTAGTAGTTGCCATTTTGCAAACTTTTCAATTTTTTGCAGCTCCTACTGCAGTAGAAATTGCTTAAAGATTCTTTATTCCATTTCCGTTTAACTGATGTTAAAAGAGGTTTTCCAGCTTTAAGCAGGTACATATTTCTTTTACACGAAAGGCATAGTCCAGCTGGATACTTCATAACCTTAATATTATATTTATCATGACAATGCTTTACAACGAGCTTTTTCAAACTTTCTGTAACTAGAATACACTTAGTGTTTTTAGTAAAGTAACAAGCACAGAACAAAAATCTGTTCAAATCATGAGATCTTTTAAACTTAAACCTCCATCCTCTTAAAATCAAAGAGGAAATCAACCTCCATCCTCTTAAAAACCTCCATCCTCTTTAAATAAGGAATTATAAACTCTATCTGTAAATTTATTAGTTCTAGAGAAAATTTATTTAAAACTTTAATCAAACAAAAATTTAATTAGCAATTGCAAACTTTGTTCAATTCTAATTAATCATTATTTCCTATAAATAACTATAAAAAACTAATAAATGGTATTTAATGAAGTTAAGCTAAATTTATACCATATACTATACTCTATTATATAAAAGTACTTGTGTCAAAGAGACAAATGTGTCCAAAAAAGTGAAGCTAAAGAAAAAATATTTGTTAACAATAAAAGGGCTTATGATATTCAGGCATTTTAAAGACTTAAATCTTTTGTATACAAAAACATATAATCATATGGTATTATATTGTTATATAAAGATAAGTGTGTCCGAAAAATAACTGTGATTAAAGTTTGAGAACAAAAAACCCCAAAATTTGAGGCCACTTGCTCTGATTGAGAGTGAGACATTTTTGTCAAATTCTTGAACTGAATCGAAATTCATTATGAAATTTTAAGTTTCTTAAAAAAATCTTGTTCTTTAGAAGTTATGGTCATTTAAAATACAAAACATACTCATTTTTTAGGAAGGGGAAGGGGGAATATAACATTTTTTGGTCATAACTTTTGAACTGCAAGGTATATCTTTTTAAATTTTGAATTCTTAGAATAAAATTTCATTTACTATAAGATTGTACAAAAAAATTGTTAAATTTGTTTATTTGCCATATTTGAATTTGGTGCCCCGAAATCGTTGTATTTTCTATGTTTCTCAAATATATATTTTTTTGGCACATCATTTTTTGATATTGGTATTAGTATCTAAAAATTTAAGGTTTGCAGCGTTTCTGAAAGTTTCTTCATTTGAACATGATAATTTCATAGGCCCATCCCCTTTAAATGCCTTTTCTAAAAATGTGCCACCTGCAGGATTTTAATTTTTATAGTTTTGTGTAACCTAAACATTTCTTAAATAGAATCTATAAAAATATTTGGGGTGTTCCGAAATCAAACATAAAAGGTTAATTTCTGACCTGTGATATATATATTATATATAATATATATATATATATATATATATATATATATATATATATATATATATATATATATATATTTTGTATTTTAAATAATTAAAAATGTATTAAAAACAACAAAAAAAAAAAACAATTTTAGCATAAAAAAAATATAAATTAAAAACCACTTACTTTTGTATCATATTAAATAATAGATTTAAATCGTATAGATTTAACAACAAAAGGCACTGTCTTTTACTTCTTAAAACTACTCTAGCTGTAAATTTACCGAATTAAATTTTTTAGAACATGTTTTTTTTCTTAAAATAATATAAAAATACCTTTGTTAGGAATATAGACAGATTCCATTTCATTATCTAAATTAAATAAGAAAGCTATTGAAATAGATAAGCTTATTAAAGATAAACTAATTTAAAAACTTTAAAAAATTAACTTATAATCTTTATTACATATATATACTACTTTATGACTAATATATACTAATTTATATTATTATATTCTGATTTAATACTAATAAATACTAATTTATTATTAATATATACTAATTTATCATTAGTATATGCTAATTTATTACTAATGTATACTGATTTATTACTAATACATACTAATCAATTACTAATATATACTAATTTATTACTATTATATACTAATTTATTACTAATATAAAGTAGTTTATTACTCATATGAATATTGTATGAGCAAAGAAACAAATTTAGAAAAACATAGAAATCGAAAAACTAATTTTTGCTAACAAAATATATATAAATTACTAAATTCTTCAAAATTTTTGATTTCTTTTGAAAAATAAAATCACAACGACTTACGCAAATTGCCATTTACAAGAAAAAAACTTTTTATTAGGCCATATTGGGCATTGTCAAACGGATTTGAAGCATATACTTTAATATTATCTAAACTTTGAACTTGATTGTTAATATTTGAAAAGACAACTTTTCCATTTATTCTGATTGTGTATAAATAAAATAAACCATTGAAACTTTGACACAATTCAATAATCGACCACATATTTAACTTTATTGGGTAATAAAATGAAGTTAAATTTCTGTTAATTAAAGCCAAAATTTTAAGTCTTCCTCTACCGTACTCATCCAACCATATGCCAAGAACAATATCATTTCCATTATTAATAACATTAGCTGCAATATTGAAATAAATAATGCTATGCAGTCCAGATTTAAATGCGATTGGATAAAAATTAAAGGAAAACAAATATTCTTTATCTAACTTTGATATCTCAGCCACAACCCTTTTCTTTACTAATGATGTGTTAATACTTTCAACAATATATTCTGAATAAAAAAAAAGCAATGTCAATATTAAATAAATACAATGGGAAAAGAAATTTTTTTTTATTAGTGAATAAGATCTGTGCATAAAAAATGAATTGTTAGCATATACACTTATATATGAAGTGTTAGCATATACACTTGATATACACTAGCATATACACTAGCATATATACTTATATATGAAGTGTTAGCATATACACTTGACTATGAACTTTTATTACAGTTTTTTAAATTGTAAAAAATATTTAAAACAGAAAATCTATC